CCATGTGGGTGACACCAAGGTCTGCCACTAGTTCCAGCAGTAGCCAGGCTTCCTTGATTGTAGTTGCAGGGGTCTCTGAGTGCCTGGGTAGATGACACTGTAAACTAAATCCTGGTGAATGTAGTCCCTAGGCAGCACTTATTGAGCAGGGTGCCCTATGTCTCTCTTCTCAATGTGAAGTCTTCTACTTTTGCAACTTGTGCAAAAGTAGAGCATGTGAAGGGTGGGGTCTTGTTGATTCCTGATATGCCCTCAAGCCATTTTTCCTATTGTCCTGATCCAAAGTACTTGGCTTTTTAAAAATACTAATCTTTCCAGCAAGGAAGTTCTTCTCTGCTCCATCTGTATAAATGCTTCCTCTCTGATAAAACTGAAAATTTTAAATGGGGTTTTTGTTCCTGTTTCTCACAGTAGATCTCACTAAAAGTAGCAAGCAGTACCCATGCTGCAGCCTGAACATTAGTCTGTCTTGAAATTTCCTCTACCAGATTAAATACTTTTTCCTCCTTAATTTCAGTCTCCTGCATTGTCTCAGATCATGAGCAAAATGTAGATAAATTTTCTGCCAGAGCATAACACACATGGTCTAGAGTTCAACTGCCAATGGAGTCCTTGTTCCCAACAGAAACCTCCTGAGCCTTATCTTTTCCGTCTGCATTTTTATCAGCATTCTGGTCTTCTTGAGTTTCACTAGAATCTTCCATCAAAGCTTGGCATAAAACATTTTAGGACTTCTCTAGGCAATATCTCCAAATCTTTCCAAACTCCTACAAACCAGTTCCAACAGCTTCTGAACCACATGGTGAGATAATCACAACAACCACTCCACTTCTTTGGTACCAAAATCTGTTTTAGTCACTTTCTCATCACTGAGACACTACTCAATGCCCACAATTTAAAGGATGGAAGGTTTATTTTGGCTCACAGTTAGTAGAAGTTTCAGTCCAGGTGCTGGCTGTAAGGTTTAGAATGGCACTGTGAGAGGGCCTGGACAAAGAAAAGCTGCTCACCTCATGGCATCCAGGAAGAATGGAGTCAAAGGAGGGATGAGGAACGAAGGTAAACCCTTCCAAGTCATGCCCCCAGTGACTTGTATCTTTGGACCAGACCCCACCTCCTAATAGCAAGTCAACTATAAGCTCCCATGATCTAATCACCTTTCAGAGGTACTGCCTATGATCTCATGAGGCTTTAGGGTACACCTAGATATAACCATAATAGTGACAAAACTGTCACATACTCTCACAGATAGAAGTATCTAGCACCTGGATAACTGAGGAGCAAGTGTTCCCACAGCAATGGTTTTAAAATATTTCATTTCATTTTTCTTAGTCACTTTACTCTTTATTCCAAAAATGCTTCCCAGAAAGCCTAAGACTATCTACTTGTCATAGGACGTAAGTTGAGCCTGATTCATATCCCTGACCTAGCCTACCCCTTTTCCTTATAGTCCCCTCAGCAAAGTTGGCCCTTGAGGGAGCTTGTTAAAATAGAATTTGAAAAGCACTACTGAAAAATAGCAAAACTGTTTGTCTATGTGTATAACAGGGTACTTCGATACGTGACTATAGTGCTGTCCTCTGAAGAGAAAGACCTCCAAAGCTTTCTACCTCAAAACAAGTAAAACTCTTATGTGGTTCTTTATCAACTATAAAGTTGTAGATAAAAGCAACTTTAGGAGCTTTGGATTCTTACTGATGTGTAACATGCAATCTAAGTGGGTATAATATGCTCACAAGTGCAGTACTGTATCTCAGCCCCTCCCATCCAGAATCCTAGCCACTACTGATGGTAAAAACCTCTGTATGCTGAGAAAGATCTGTGTAACTGTTGCATAAACCTGGGTAAGTCATATCAAAATTTCATGGGGCAGAGAGAGCATTCAGTAAATGGCAGTGATTATAATGAAAATAATTAACAATCATAATGGCTAGCATTTATTGGCTGCTTAAATAGTAATCTAAGCACTTTGTATATTAAACTCACTTAATCTTTACAACCCTAACAATCTGTACTTTTATCCCTATTTACAGGTAAGACACTCCATGTTTACACAACTAATAGAGGTAGAGGTAGACCTCGTGCTCAAAAATCTAAATCTACTATATAATTAGAATGGATATGGGCATTGATCCAGAGTATGGCACTGGAGGCCCTATGCTGAGCCAGGTTTTGAGCCTTGGGTTCTGTAGCTTATTGAGTCCTGAAGGGGAAAGTTGAGCAGCTTATGGCAGCAACTTATGTGCTAACTAGGATAGAAATATTTCTGTGTTTTTACATTTGATGGCAAAACCAGTGAATATCAACTAAATGCTGACCTTAATCTGAATTCAGGTAGTCTAGCTCCACGCTGCCTCTTCTGGCAGGCTTCATAGAAGAAGTGACTTTTAACTAGGTCTTGAGAGATGACTAGGAATTTGTGAGAAACCAAATATTCGAGGTAGAGGGAACAATAATTGAAAAGATTAAGGAAGGAATGTGATGTGTTTGGTGCAGAGTAAGACATTTCCTATGGATAAGCAGAGTGTATTTTAATGGAATGTTAAGAGATGAGACCAGGATGGAAGATTGTTTTTAGATTGTGAGAGATCTTGAATTCCCTTTACCTCTTTGTGTGTGTGTGTGTGTGTGTTTGTGTGTGTGTGTATGTCTGTCTGTCTGTCCTTGTGTGGTGCTGAGGATTGAGACTTAGCCCATATGCATGATAAACAGAAGAGACCCACTTTATACTAGGGCAATGAGGGCTTTTTAAGAAGGAAAGTGACATGTTCCTTTTTGACGGTTTTGGAAATAGTACTGGTATAGCAGTATAAAAGGAATATTAGATGAAGGAGACTATACAGATGAGAACACCAGTGAGTAGGCTACTGTTAGCAATCAAGGTGAACATTGAGGGTCTGCATTGCCGCAATGTCAATATCTAATCTTACTTAACATGCCCAGTATATTGTGTTAGTCTCTGTTCAGCATCTGGATGACTGACCTTCATGGCATTGGTTTCCAAACAGTACTCAGGGAATCCCTGGGTTTCCTGCAGAGGTGTCTCAGGGGCCACCATATAAAAAACGGATAGGCTTCTTAATCCTCATCCCTACTTCCAGGTAAAATGTTTGGACTTTCAGGTAGCATACTTGAAGGAGCTCAGGAAAGACAAGGCAGTTTTGGGAAAGTAAAAAACTTTTCCTTTCTCTGCCTGTTGAACTCGTTCTTACTTGACTTTCAATACCCATTGCAAATGTGCCCCCTTCTGTAAAACTTTCTGTGACTCTCCAAGTCACAAGTTCATGTGTCTTGTTGCTCTCTTCCTCAAGTAGCCCATGTTCACTTCCATCACAGCACTGACCATACATTTTGTAGCCTCTATTTTCGTGTTTCTCTCCTCCTTCAGACTGGACTCCTGAAGGGCAGGTACCTTATTCATCTTTGTATTTGTATTCCCAGAATTCTACACAGAACTTAGAAATACTAATTCTATCTAGCATTTTGGGGGCATTTATTATATGCTAGACCCTGTCCTATGTGATTAATATATTTTTTCATTTAATCCTATCATGTAATTATTGTAATGATCCCCATTTGCCAGATTGGAAAACTGAGGCACCATGAAGTTAAATCACTGGCTGCCAGCCATGATGTTAGTAGAACTAGAACTTATTTATCTATTTATCTATCTATTTATTTATTGGTTTTTTTGAGACAGGATCTTGCTTATGCAGTTTGGGCTGGCCTTGAACTTGCCATGTACCCCAGGCTGACCTTGAATTCACAATGATCCTCCTGCCTCAGCCTCTAGAGTGCTGGGATTACAGATGTGTGCCACCACACCTGGTTTAGAACTGCAATTTAAACAGAACCAGTCTGCCTCTAGAAACTTTGCTCTTAATCATTACTATATTGCTTCATCCACATAATAGGCATTCTTTTTTGTTTTGTTTTTGTTAAATTCTTTTATTGGTACATTTTAGGTATACAACACAATTACATTTCTCTTTGGGAATTGTACCTTTACATAATGCATCTTGGTTCTTATATTTTCCCCATTCCTAGCCCTCCCTTCACCCCCTCCA